GGGTGTTGCCTTCAGGTAAAACTATGCCACATGCTCCCCTACAGAGCTCTCTGGTGACCTAAAGCAGTGGAGCTCAACCTTTTGGCTCTGTGGGCCAGGTGAATGGAGTAGGGTGTGGCGGATCTGTAGGCTGGATCAAGCCCCATATGCTGGTATCTGACCCTGATTGTGTGTGTCCATCAGTCCCTCCTCCTTCCACCCCAGGGTGCTAGGATTGGGCCCTGCAGCCTGACTGGATCACATGGCACCCAGACTGGATCTGACCCATGGCTGTAGCCTAAGTTAAGACACAACAAAAGCTTTGCATGCGTCTTACGTGGTCCCAAGGACAGTATCTGCAGCCAGGCATTCAGAAGTTTTTCTGGGGGATCTGAAGGTCTTAGCTGCTGAGCACTCCCACAGGTCTAATCTTTTATGGGTGATTCACACCCCCTTCTCCCCCTTGGGTTGCCTTGACAGCAGCTGGTCCCTTGCCCCTTGCATCTTCCCGGACTTTCCACATCCTTTGCCCCTTTCAGGATGTTTGTCTGCTGGTTCTTGGCTTTCACAGGTCTCACTTTGCAGTGTAACTGTAGGCCGCCCCCCCCACCATCGGCTACAGAATGAATTAAAGGGCCAGGAACTGCATCTGTTGCATAGCTTCAGAATTAGTTAAAAGGCCAGAGACTTTTGTGACTGTGCCATGGTTTGGCCAACATATTGTAGCCCTTCCTGGTCTGGTTCCTTCTGGAAGCACGGGGCAGTTTAACCTGGTCACTGCCGCCTGCATCGTGGTACACCTTGAGGGGGGTCTTGCAGTTCCCCCAGTCGAGAATCACTGTTTTAAAGGATGCTTCTACATCCCAGTCCCTTGGGCTTTCTCTCTCCGGATCTACCATATTTATTTGGCTACTACATGTCCCCCATTTAACACCCGCACCTTGTTCTCGGAAGGCGGAATAGAGAGAGAAAGATTGTTTTCATTTTAACCAAACTGGTCTGAATCAGTTTCCACATTGAATTTTCAGTCACTAATTTCTGGAGGGGGGAGAGTGGGATGTGAATCAGCACGATGAATTCTGTTGCCTGCCACCTGGTTTCTCCAGGCCCTCTGCCTCGAGGTAGAGGTGAGTCTGTTTGCTCCCAGTATCTCTGAGGTTGACTTCAGGCCCCCACTCCCTCCCCCTGAATAACTGCTGCTCTTTGAAGCAGCTGGGAAGCTACAGAGAGACTCTTGCCCTCACTCCATGACTCAGCCCCTTCCCCAGAGGGAGAAGAGCTGGCCCCGACCCACTCAGAGCCAGCTCACCCCTTGATGCCTCCTCTCTCCCTGTCCCCCCACAGTATGCCATCCTCATGACCATGGTACTCACCATTTTCATCAAGTATGTCCTGCACTCAATCGACCTCCAGAGTGAGAATCCCTGGGACAACAAGGCTGTCTACATGCTCTACACGGAGCTCTTCACGGGTAACCTGCCTTCCCTTAGCCCCATGGGAGTTGGGAAAGCTGTTGGAGGAGGCCAGGTTGGTGCCTCAGCCTGGGGCTTCTTGGAAGGGGGTATTTCTGCGAGATTGTTTGAGAGGCCTTGAAACAGCCCAGCGTGGAAATGAGAGACTCAGCTGCAGTTCCCCAAATCCCATGTAGCTCCTGGGCTCTTCAAACGCATCTAATAACACCAAGCGATTGCTGTGAGCTGGGGCAGTGTGCACAGAGCAAGGCCTCTGGGACTCGCAGATCTCTGGGGTTCTCTGGCCCTCGATTTGGCCTGTGGTTAGAAGGATTAGAAGACTTGGTCACCCTGAATCTAACTTATCATCTAGGCTCCAAGGCAAAGGTTTTGAGATGGGCCCCAGCAAACTGTGGGGTTTGGGCAGGTTCCTGGAAGCCATGGTGCTTTAGCTTGTGGGGGGTGACAATGAGTTAGAACCCAGTCTGGGTGGAAGAGAATGGGGAGCAAGTTGGAGCAGGACACCTGGGTTCCCTTGCCCATCTGTGGGAGAGGGGAACGTAACTCATTGTTGGAGCTTCCTGGGTTCTGTGCTGCGGGGAGAGACGGGTGTGGGGACAGTCCACCCTTGCTTATTGTCCCCCTAGTACAGCCCCGTAGTCCTCTCTGGTGGATGTGGAGGACCAGGACTCTGATCACAGAAGCCTGCCTCTCTGATCTGGCTGTGGGGGCTGATAGGTGTTTAAGGGCTGGGTGAGCTCTGCTGGAGAAGGGCTGAGGGTTCAAATCTCCCCTCCTCACCAGGCTTCATCAAGGTGCTTCTCTACATGGCCTTCATGACCATCATGATCAAGGTGCACACCTTCCCTCTCTTCGCCATCCGGCCCATGTACCTGGCCATGAGGTGAGCAGACCCGGCCAGCCTGGCACATGCTGTGTTTCCCATCCCGGTGCCTGGGTGCGTGACTCAAGCTGCTCACTTTTCATTCCAGGCAGTTCAAGAAGGCTGTGACGGACGCCATCATGTCCCGCCGCGCCATCCGCAACATGAACACCCTGTGAGTATACAGGGGAGGGACAGACCACTCCCATAGGCTGAAACTACCATACTTTCTCACATACAAGGTGCATCTTCCTCCCCCAAAAACCAGCTGCTGGGAATTGTGGTGCACAGTATATATGAGTAATACAGTAAGAGCAGTTTCTGTCACTTTCCAGGTGAAAGTAAAATCCACTCAAGGAGCAGAAAAATGAGCAGCCTCAGTTCTGTAGTTGCCACTACTCAGTTTATACAAGGAAAGACCTCTATTCCTTCCCTCCACATTTCAAAACCAAGGCACCTGCTTAATTCTAGGCTGTATTGTATGCAAGTAAATATGGTATTGGGTTGCGGCGGGGCATCACACTGAACACCGTATACACCCCTTGACTGAGATCAGGGGTGCTTGAAGGAGAGTGGGTAGAAGGTGGCCTGTTGTACTGGAGGCTGCGGTCACCCAGTGAGAGCCGGCCTTCCTCTCTCCAAAGAGCTTATTGTAACAGCAGATAGGAGGGCAGGGCAGTGGCAGGGTCAGGGGCTTGGCCCAGTTGAGGAAAGAACGTAGCAGTCCTGGCCGTGAGACCACAATGGCCCTGACTTCCCCCTCGAGCCTCAAGGCCTTGATACAGAGCAAGATGGTTTTGGCTTAAGATATGCCAGCCAGCCTGTGGCTCAGCAGAAACCTGATGGTCTCCTTTGGGTCTGCTCTGAAATGCCCCGGGCCAAGGTGACTCTGTGGGGGTGGCGAGTCTTAGTGTCACAGCTTTCCTCACCTTCTCTGCCTGAGATTCTATCCCCCCTATCTCTGCTCCCCACCCAGGTACCCCGATGCCACCCCAGAAGAGCTACAAGCCATGGACAATGTGTGTATCATCTGCCGGGAGGAGATGGTGACAGGCGCCAAGCGCTTGCCTTGCAATCACATTTTCCATACCAGGTGGGGAAAATCTTGGTGGCATGTTTCTGCCTCTGCCTAGAATCTTAGAGCCCCAGAGAAGCCTCAGAAGAAGAGGCAGAGGGTGGGATTTGATCACAGTCTTCAAATCCCCAAAGGACAATGACAGGATGGGGATGGGCTTTTCTCTGTGGCTGTAGAGGATGGGCTTTGGGGCAATGGCCTCAAGCTGCAGCAGGGCAAACTGAGGTGGCACATGAGGAGGAACGTTTTGACTCTGAGGGGGGTCAAGCTTTGGAACAGGCTGCCTAGAGACGTGGTAGAGTCTCTGTCCCTGGAGATGTCCAAGAGCAGCTTGGAGACACTTGGTTGGGGATGATTTAGCCAGGGATGGTCCTGCCTTGAGCAGGGGGCTGGATGTGACCTCACAAGGTCCTGTCCAGCCTGACTTACCTACAGTGCCATGCCTTGTGTCTGGGCTAGTGCAGATGGGGCTGATCCTGACTCTAGAAGGGGCTGGACTGGACAGGAGTCAGACGAGTGGGTCTCCAGCCTCTGGCAGAGGCCCCAACATAAGCCAACGATATCTTCCACCCCCTGCAGCTGCCTGCGGTCATGGTTCCAGCGCCAGCAGACCTGCCCCACGTGCCGTATGGATGTCCTGCGTGCCTCATTGCCTGCCCAGTCCCAGCCTCCGCCCGAGCCGCCAGAGCCAGGCCAGCAGCAGCAGCAGCACACGCCGCTGGTGCCCCAGCCCCCCAACTGTGAGTGCCCTGCCTCAGTTGACCTCTCTAAGATGGGTATAAGTCTGTCTTGTGCCACAGCTGAGGGGTACCAGGGAAACGCAGCTGGGAACTCTGCTTCATGCACCCCTTTCTCTGCTTGCCTCCACAGTCCCCCAGGGCGTCCTGCCCCCATTTCCTCCAGGGATGTTCCCCTTCTGGCCTCCTATGGCTCCATTCCCGCCAGTCCCCGGCGTCCAGCCAGCCAACAACGCCGAGAACCCTGCAGCCGCCTCCAGCTCGCCCTCCACCTCTGGGGCTCAGGCAACAGGTAAGAAACCTCACCCTTCACATCACTGCCCACACTATTACAGAGCAACTCGCTCTAAATCCTGGGATAAAGTTACCCTGCAAGAAACTCCCTTTAGTAACCCTGGGGTAACATCATGGGTGTGTGTTTGCTGTCCTACTCGAGCTAAAAACGGCCAACCTGTTTGTCCTTTAATACTGGAATCTGACAGGCATAAAAGCTCACCGTCATCCCACCCTGAGTACCTGTGAAATATCTGAATTAACATTTTGCCTTGGCTGGTGTGTCTGCCCGTTTCTGTCCATGTGTTGCCTGTGTGTGAAGAGACACAGTAATCTCATCGGCCATGCACAGATCACATGGCCCCGTGACCACTTCACCAGGACTCTGTCTTCTTTCTCTCTGCAGCCAGTACCTCACGCCCCAGTGGAGACTCGGCAGCAGGATCAGACACTGCTGCCCCTGCAGGAACCGTGCCGGGCTTACCCTTCCCTCCCCCCTGGATAGGGATGCCATGGCCCCCTCTGTTTGGTAAGCTCCGGGGGGCTGGGGAGGGGGAAGAGAAGGGCTCCTTGATTTTCCCCCAACAGAGGGAGATTCCCCAAGGGCTACATTTATCGAGGCCCAAGATCCATAAAATCATAGAAGTAGGGTCGGAAGGGACCTTGTAGATCTTCAAGTCCGACCCCCTGCCTGGGCAGGAGGGAAACTGGGCTCAAGTGACCCCAGCCAGGTAGGCATTGAGCCGCTTCTTAAAGACCCCCAGGGTAGGAGCCAGCACCACTTCCCTTGGAAGTTGGTTCCAGATCCTAGCCGCCCTAACTGTGAAGTAGTTCTTACGGATGTCTAATCTAAACCTACTCTCCAACAACTTGTGGCCGTTATTCCTTGTTATCCCGGGGGGCGCTAGGGGAAACAAGGTCTCCCCCAAACCCTTCTGGTCCCTAGTGAGTTTATAGACAGTCACAAGGTCCCCCCTCAGCCTTCTCTTGTGAAGGCTGAACAGGTTCAGGTCCCGTAGCCTCTCATTGTAGAGTCTGCCCTGCTGTCCCCAGATCATGCGGGTGGCACTTCTCTGGACCCTCTCAATGTTCTCCACATCCCTCTTGAAGTGGGGTGCCCAGAACTGGACACAGTACTCCAGCTGCGGCCTGACCAGTGTCGCATAGAGGGGGAGGATCACCTCCTTGGCCCTACTTGAGATGCACCTGTGGATGCATGATAGGGTCTGGTTAGCCCTGCCAACCGTGACCTCGCACTGTCGGCCCATGTTCATCTTGGAGTCAGTGATGACTCCAAGATCCCTTTCTGCCTCCGTGCTCTCAAGAAGGGAGTTTCCCATCTTATAAGTGTGTTGCCGGTTACTACTGCCCAAGTGCAGCACCCTGCACTTGTCCGTATTGAAACGCATCCTGTTTTTGTTAGCCCACCCTTGCAACCTATCCAGGTCTTTCTGCAGTCTTTCCCTCCCTACTACCGTGCCCACCTCACCCCAAATTTTGGTATCATCAGCAAATTTGAACAGGTTGCTTTTCACCCCGTCGTCCAAATTGCTGATCCAGTGGACGATCCAGTGCCACCAGCTTGATACTTTTGGGCTGGAGCACAGGAAACAGCCTAGTGGTAGACAACAACTAGCAAGGATGCTCTCATCTTCCTGAAGGGAAGCCAAGAAACCCACCTCTCTCCCTCCTACAAACAGGTTTCCCTCCCATGCCGGTGCCACCTGCCGGGTTTGCAGGGCTCACGGATGAAGAGCTCCGGGCCATGGAGGGCCACGACCGGCAGAACCTGGAAGCCCGGCTACAGTGCCTACAGAACATCCACACGCTCCTGGATGCGGCCATGCTCCAGATCAACCAGTATCTCACTGTCCTAGCAACCATTGGGTATGTCTGTGGGGCAGGGACTGTAATGGGGGTTTGCTTCCATGTTACTGGGAAGAGACTGAGGGGTAGAGCCCGAGTAACTTTAGATTGGCGCTCAGGAAAAATGCCTTCCCTGTTTTAGAGCAGGGAAGCAGTAGAATAGACACCCAGGGGAGTTGTGGACTCCATCACTGGAGGTGTTCAAGAAGAGACTGGACAGCCATTGATCGGGGTGATCTAGGCATAGCAGTGTCTCAGTGTCTATGTTGTAGTAAGGGGATTTTCTAGGCTTCTGGGCTTTGCTGGTTGCTCCCTTCCCCCTTTCTGATGCATGTGTCTGTTTTTAAGCCTCCCTCAAAGGCACTAGATGCTGGCTGCAGCCCAGGCTGGGGATGGGGACTCGGCTCTGCCAGTGCCCCTGCTGGGTTCGAACCAGAGGGTCCTGGCTACAAGGTCTTGCCTCTCAGCTAAGGGCAGACCAGCACTGCCTTTGAGGTCAGGAAGGAATTTTATCCCCTGGTTGGATTGGAGGCCACACCCCTCCTCCTTCCTCTACCGGGGGAGTTGTGGCCTCCACCTGGGATCTTTTGAGTGTATATTGACAACGTTTCACAAAAGCAGGATGTTGGCTGCCATGGTTCCCCTGTTTTCCCTGTGGCAGGTTTGGGTGTGGTGTCTGTGTTGTGTCAGGGTTGATGGTAGTCTTATGTCGAGTTTAAATAATGGATTTGTACGGGGTGCTTTGGACAGGGCTGATCCTGCTTCAGGCAGGTTATTGGAGTAGATGTGACCTCTGCAGGTCCCTTCCAGCCCTGCTTCTCCATGATTCTATGACGAGTGAGGACCCTTTCAGACTAGGACCTTCTGAGCTAGGAGTGAAAAATCAGGGGAGGAAGGTGAGTTGAGACAGCTGGCATCAAGCTATGGACCTACCCCTGTTAGAGACCATAAGCATCTGATGAGAGACTCCTGTTAATGCTCTGAGTCTCTCAGGCAGCCTGGTGGTGTGGGTCAGCCTTTGGTGAGGCCTGCATTGATTGTGCTATTAGCAAAGCCTCTATGTGCGTTGCGTATGTGTTCATTAGTGTTTCTGTCAGTTAATATTCAGAGGCTTACACGGTGGGGCCCATAGGAAGTAGATGGGCTGCTCTTTGTCCTTACTTTACAACCCTCTCCTTTGGACAGGTCACCCCGTCCTGCCCAGCCTCCCAGCACATCCACCTCGACCCAGGTCCCCCACACTGATGAATCTACCACCTTGCCTTCGCCAGACAGCACTACACCTCCGGTGGCATCTCCAGAGGGGGCCACATCTGGTGAACCGGACTCAACAGGTCAAACAGGTAGAGGAAACAGAACCTATGATACATTGTGCTGCCTATCAGCTCCAGGGGCCTGAAAACACCGCTGCCAACTTCCTCCATAGCACTGGAGATTGCCAGGGGCTGTGTCAGACAGCTTTCTCACGGCCAGCCTATGCAGTCCTGTGTCATCCCTACCTCTAGGGTAGGTGGCATCTGTTGGGATGAACCACCCCATTCAGACGTCTGCCACTGAATGAGACAGGCCAGAGGGCTTGCCCAGTTAGCCAGCGATTCTCAATTGGGGTCACACCGTTACCCAGAACCCTTGGATTGGGCAGTGGGGGGAGTTTCCCCTCCACTTGTGGTAGGGCAGCCATATAATTTTGAAGAAAATCCAGGATGGGTAAGGGGGACCACACACACACACCCGCCCACATCCACACCTGGCTGCAGCCCACCCCCTGCTTCCAGCTGCTGCACAGGAGGAGCTGGGCTGGGTACGTGCAGGTGTGGTGGTGCCACCAATCTGGGACTTTTGCTTCCGTTTTCACCCACCATCTGAGGCGACACATGAAATCTGGGACCGTCCCAGCCAATCGGGGACATATGGTCACCCTAACTAATGCAGATAGCACACACTCTTATTCTAAGCAACGCATTAGTTGCCTTGCAAGCTAGCATTGCTCCTTGTCCTGTTGATCAGACAGTTCAGGGACATTCAAGGGCATAGTCCAGCAGTCCATTGACCCTTTGTTCCCAGACTGTGTTTATACCATTTGTTTCCTCCATATCCATTATTTTTCCTGCTACTCTTATTACTGTTATTACTACTAGTGCTGGCTACTTAAGCCCCTGCCACACGTAACATGTATTACACAGTTCACTGGTGCAATACATTTAGACCAGCCACACATGCAAAGTGATTATCACTAAGGACCTACTTAAATTGTAGTGAGAGTAAACAATTTTGGGGTTGGTCACAGCATAAAGAGCAAATTCCATGGATATTTCCCAGATGTGCTTCACTGGCTCTGCGCCTTGGCACTGATTGGTGGAGAGGCCCCAAGAGGTTGGGGGGGACAAGGGAGAGGCCACCATTTTGTCTGCTGCCTCACCAGCCAAAGCCTTCCTCAGCACCCCTGCAGGCGGGTTGCCACGCTGGGCTGCAGCGGCAGCGAGGACAGCCATCTCCCGCTGGGACTCAGCTTTTTATTTTTCAGGTGTTTTATTTAAGCTGATTTCACAGACAATCCCAGATTTCACAAATTGAGTAGACCCCTAGTTATCTCACAGTTAACTGGCTTATTGTGCAGTGAACTTAGATCGGCCACATACATGTGCAAGGCGATTATCACGCCATAAAAATGGCCATCCAGCTACAAAGTCAGTGCCTGAAAATGTAGAATAACTTTGTAGCTGGTTCCTATCCAGTTTTAATTGGAGCATGTGGCAGCGCCCTTCCAGCCTATTTATACTGTAAACACTCCTACCTGCTTACCTTTCTTATCACATACCTGTTTTATCACGCATCCTCTTCTCCCTGCTGTCCATTGACAGTGCCGATGCCTTGACAAAATTCCTAGCTGTTTGCTCAGCTGTAACCAGATAGCGGCCTCCTCACTAGCGTGGTTGCTATGCAACCCCTCGCAGGAATGGACACTGGTATTTTTATGTTTACACCAGGATCCCTCCCCGTGCTATGATTGCCTCAGTTGAGGGTGCTGCACAAGAGCAGTGCTGCTAGATGTAGGTACACGCGATCAACACAGAGATTTCCAATGGGAATCCAGTGTCCGGACCTTCCCATCTACCTGTGTCTTTCCAAGCTCTTTGTACCAGAAGAATTGTTCTAGGACAAGGGTATTCAGGCCTCAGTCAACCGGCCAAATCCAGCCTGTGGCCCTGTATTGTCTGGCCTACAGGGCTTCTCGTGGGTCTGGAAGTAGGAGAAAGTTGGCACTGCTCCTCCACCGCCAAATATGTGGACTCATGGGGAACCCCAGGCCCTGTGCTCTGAATCTGCCTTCTGATCCCGGTACACAGGGCTGGGGAGTGGTGGTTCTGGGTCCCAGGGTCCAATTCTGGCACATCAGGGGCAGCACTAGGTGCCAGAGCCCAATTCCAGCACAGGTGCGGGGGGGACACACCTGATCCTGGCATGTGGGGTTCCATCTAGCCCACGGATCAACCTGGCTCTATGCACTGGCATCTTTTGAGGGGAAAACCTTGATTCTAAACAGGTTGCGAGCCATGGTCTTAGCTGCTTGTGGCCAAGTCTTGCTGCTCTCCATTGTGAGGTGCCGGCAGGGAGAAACTCTGCCCCCATCAATTGCTGTCCCCCATTCCCTGACTGATTCCTTTGCAGATCTGTCTGGCCTGGGGGGTGCTGAAGGCTACACGCCACCAGGTCCTGCCCTCGAGGAAGAGGAGGAGCTGTCTTCATCCGGGGAGCCTGACACGGCCGAGCTTCGCCGGCGCCGGCTTCAGAAACTGGAATCACCCCCTGCCCCCTCACACTGACACCCCTCGGAGCCCATCTTGCCCAGTGACTGGTATTTTTGGCTCGTGACTTTGTTTTCTCTTCTCCGCCCTCCCTAATTTGTTTAAAAAGAAAGTTTAAAAAGAAAAAAAAAAAACATTAAAAAAATAAGACAGACGCGCAACGTCAGGGGCCACGGGGCCAGGGACCTCGACGGGCTGAGACTAACCCACCCCAGCCAGCGGAAGGAGGAGGCCACAGCCATGATGCTACGGGTTTGGGGGGGGTTGGAATGGACTCTGCCTTTTTGTTTCTAACTTAAAACCCCACCCTCGAATGCAAACCGCTCTGTAGCTGTTCTCTCGTCTGCGATTTCACACTTCCCATTCCAGAGCCTTCTTCCACACAGCTCCCTGCAAATTCCCTTGGGAGTTCACGGTACACAGGGCTGCTGCGACAGGACCCTGGGGGCTTCTGCAGCATGCCACTCAGAGGGGGGCATCTCCACAGTCTGGCGAGCTGCTCGCAGCTGGGGTTTCTCCTCCGATGCAAGGTCTTTTCCTGCCTCGGCCCAGTTGTTTCTACCTCTCTGGTGCCACATCAGTGGAGTCTTGCTGGAAGAGGCCCACGAGGAGCCGGCTTCTACAGGGAAGGAAGTGCATGTCCTTCCGCATCTCCAGGTTGAGGGGAAACAGTCTCACCTTCACATGCAGAAAAGAGCATTTGGGAGCTGGCAAAGCAAGGGTTGGGGAGTCAGAAATATGCATACCTTCTGAGAACACCCTTCCAGCGGGCGTTGCTCTGGGTGCTATTGGGTTAGGCTGGCTTGCAATGAGATCAGCATGAGGTTTCATGCTCTTATTTGCTGTGATTCAGGAATCTGTTGGCACAGGGAGTGTGGGTCGGAGCAGATGCAGGGCTGTGGAAAGCCAGGACCGAGTCGTGGCCTGGCTTAGACATCCCTTTGATGTCCTTTCCTTTCCCAGCAGGGGAGGGGTCCCTAGAATTCAGCTCTGTGGTTGCAAGTGGCTTCAGTATTGATCACGCCTTTGCCAACACCCAAAGAGTTTGGCCACACAGCCTTGGTGATGTGATAGGCCTCTTGGTGAGGACGATAAACCATACAACCATCCACCCTCCTCCAGTGTTTGGCTGTCTGTATCATGTTACAGAACCCTTGAGACCCGAGTGCTGGCAGGGAAACTGGTTCTAGCACAGATAGCGATGCCCATACTGGTTACTCTGGTGTTGGCAATATACCCCCTTCCCTTCCCTCCTACCTTCTGCTTCTCCTGTTCCCAGCATCTGAAAGCATGGAGAGTTGGTAGGAGTCCTGAGTCCTGGGGCAGGACAGGAAGAGAGGGTGCTGGGCGTCATCTCTATTCCTGGATTCTCCAGGGTCAGTTGTTTTGGATCCTTTCTTGTAGGGACACCCTACGGACTTGGGAGACAGAACCCTTTTCCCCTCTCACCCTGAGCCTCACTGGGATCAGACCAGACCCCACTTGGGGTTCTTCTCCCATCAGGACTTTTACTGCAGCCGCCTTTCTCTCTCCAGTGACCTCACAGCAGTGATCTCACAGCTGTCTTCTCCAGTTCGGTTCCCAGGGGTCTCATGCAGCTCCTGACAGTAGGTCTGCTCCCAGGACCTGAAACAGTCGCCTCTGTGTTCATTGGGTTTTGTTAGTAGCAATCACTCCAAATGTTAGGGTGGGCTTGGGGCAAGTTCTGTCTTGCTGATGGACAGTATTAGCAATGGGGGCACTTCCGGGGACAACCACTTCTCCTGGAATAAGCCAGGAGGAACTTTTCCATGAGCCATTTCAGCCCAGCTCCCCCAGTCTGCTTCCCTGACAAGGATGTGTAGACCAAGGAAGGGGCGTGTTAAGGATGTTTGACTTCTGGTGGGTTGTCAGCAGCTTTGATGTCTGTGTTGGAGGTGGGGTTTTGCTCAATTTCGTCTAACCTGATTCTCTCACCAGATTTCCACAGACAAATCCATGCAACTCTCAAACTCCTCTGTACTGGCACTTTAACTGCAGCATTGGTTCTGGGCACTGAGTTACTTTCTAGTGGTAAACCATCCCTTTCCACTAGCCTTTGAAAACTGGATTGATGAATCGTGAAGACTTGTTGGCTCTTATTAAGACCTTGATATAAAGCATGTTTCATCAGGAGGACCAATCTGGAGGCACTGAGGAGTCGGGTGGCTAGCCTCAGTCAGTGGTGGACTTAGAAGCATCTATGTCACTGACTGCCCGGTCACGACCTTGGGCTCCTATGCTTGCTGCAGTTAGAGGCAAGAGGCACGCCACATGTGAACATAATAATGGGTGCCAGAGACCTCCAAAAGGCTCCGTTGGGAAGCTGTGTATGGGCTGGACAGAGCTTAATGTGGTATGGGGAAGCTGTAACAGGTTAGAGCCAGCACAGGATGCATCACTCAATTCTTTCCTCTTCAGCTATTTAAAAAAAAAAAAAAGGCTCCCCCACTCCTACCCCCTTTCCAGGAACGGTATAACTCTTCAGTGCCTCTCTTCAACCCAAGTGGTTTCTAATAGTACACTTATCTCAGGGAAAACACATTCAGAGACAGTACTTAAGGGTGGGTGAAAATTTCATAGCCCTTCTGGGGAAGGGCAAAAGTAGTCAAGACCTTTTCAAGCCTAGACCTTTCACGATGAGGCACGTGGGGGTTAGCACGGGCTTGATTCAGAATCGCATCGTTTGAGGGCTTTGAGAAGAGGAAGACCATTGCCAAGGGATTGTGGGTTTGGGACTCGGGAGACAGCATCCTGTGACAGCTCTGTGCTATGCATCACTGCAGACAGGCAGCCACTAAGCATGCATCGGGTGTTGTGATAAACTATGCAGTCTCTCCCTTCCGTGCATCCAGCTCTTGCAAAAGGAAAGCTTTGCTTTTCAGGAAGAGCGCAAAGGAGGGGGAAGGGGGATTAAAAAGCTTGAGGAGAATCTCTAGCAGAGTTGGCTTCCTGTCTAGGAGCATGGGCTGGTGCTGTCCTCTTCTCCAGCTGTGGAACATGAAAGCATTACACGGGACTTCGGTAAAAGAAAACTTAGAGTAGCACCTGCTGGGGCAACATCTTGGTGTTTCTCAGAACGATGGAACCAAAGAGCAGTGTCAAGTCCTGTCGGCTCTTCGCTGAATGCTATGAACCTTCTTAAGGAGACGCCATGTTTGTGGGGGCTGGAGAAACATTGTTCTTGCAGCGGTCCGCAGCTTGACACTGAAGAGCCCCCAAGCTTGTGTGCGTTCATGGAAACAAGCAGGGTCTCAGCACTAGAACACGTGTCACCTCTGAGGAGAGAGGACTTCTCTTCCCTCGCTTAAAGGGATGCTTAAGGTTGGCCAACCCATTCGACGTCTTCCTTGCCTGTCCTTTGATTTCCAAATCTGTCATGGTAAGAATCTTGACAAGCAAATCCCCCCGCCCATGGAAGTTTTTTTGGCTTGTTACCAAAAAAATGATTTTGATCTGAGCAACTCTGCAATAATACATCTGCGTTCCTAGACAGCGCTACTCATTCAGTGTTGGGCGCGTGGAAGGAGAGCGAGCTTGATTTCATGCTTCCAGGGCTTAGTTAGAAGCATCTCAAAAGCAAAAATACCACCTGTTGTTTTAAAGGAATCAATCTCTGGTTGAGTTGAAACATGAGAAGATTATATATATATTTTTGGAAAAGAGCCCATGTTTTTTATGTTGCAATTTTGATAATGCAACCGCTTAGCCAGGGATGTGCTAATCTGTGCCACAGGTCCTGTGAGATTTGCCTCCTTTCCTGGAGTTTTATTAAAAGCCGGGGAAGAAAATGTGAGACTACAGGAGTGGAAACGTTTCTGGCCTGTCACTATCTCTCTGACTTCCTTTTAACTTCTCTCTTTTACTTTATCTTTGCGTGTTGCAGAGGTGGGTGTTTTTTTGTTTTTGTTTTCTGGAGGAGGAGGAGATGGTTCAGATAATTTAATTTGTAAATACTGTATAAATTTTTAATAGCTTAAATTGTATATACAGCAAAATAAAAATTGCATTAAAGATTGGGCTGTGCTGCTTTGAGGAATGGGGGTGGGGTGGGGTTACACACTTTTCATTACAACTGACTCCAGAAGCTCTTCTCAACCTTTTATCAACATACACAGATGTAAGTAGTTCTTTCTCATGACTGTGCTGCAGGCAGATATGAAGACGGGGGAGTCCTGGCTTTCCTGTCTGGTCCTGGCCCTGCTGTGGGGGTAGATGAGAGGAGGAAGAGAATGTTTTCTGTCTCATCCCTGTGCCTCTGCTTGGTTTGCACATCCGTGAAAGGAAGATTAGTGTTACCTATCACTGGGGGCTTAGCCTAAGGCTTAATGGTGTCATGTTGTAAACCCTTAGGCTCCTTTCTTCTCCAGGTCACGGGTGCTGCACCTAGCTTCTCTTCCAAATGCCTGTAGCCATTGCGACTCCAGGTAGCAGCAGGAGAGCCTATCTGCCACTTCACTTCCTAGACCAGTGATTCTCAACTGGGGCAGCAAGGCACCCTGGAGTACCTTGAGATCATTTCAGGGGTGCCAAGGGATGCCAATGCTAGGTGCGTAGATACGATTCACAGGATGAACCTACGGATCCTGATCTCCTGGGGTCTTTCGGAGTTCTTTGCAACAGAAGAACTGCTCTGTTATTTTTCTGTACTCAAAAAAAAAGGGGAGGGGGTGAAAACTAAGAGCTGGCCGCGTTCCCCCAGGGGGAGTCGAACGAGGGTCCTTTGATTCTACGAAGGTCGAGAACCACGGCCCTAGCCCATTCTTAACCAGGTCTCTTTACCAGCGAGTCTAGTAACAACGTACGAGTGAAGTGCTAGAGAACAGGCTCGTCCCTCCTTGCCGAAAGCCACCAGCCGAGCTTCCTCCTAACGACCTTTCCTTTTCGTCAGCGTTGCAGCCTGGCGCCCATGCAGTCGAATGCCCTTAGCCCCTCCCCGTCGTGTTCCTGAGCCCTCCTGGGCACGCGGAGGTGAGGATGCTTGTCGACCACTCTGGCCTCTCTTCAGCAGAGTGTTTATGATAGCTCCTGGCTGCCTTGGTCTGAGAGACACCAGGGAAACGATAGCGCCGCTCATGGCTACTCTGGCCTGTCTTCATCCGAGTCTCCGCTGATTCCTCCTGGCTGCCTCCGTCTGAAAAACAGCGGGAAAAGATTGGCCGTTTTGACCCTTCTTCCTGCAGGCCCTTATTGGTCCTCCAGAGCAGAAAGACCCTAGGAAAAGAAGAGACACCTTTCTGGCTTCTCATTATCCTGCTCTCTATGATTCCTCCAGAGCCAAGAGAGCCTAGAAGATGAAGAGACTCCTTTTGGCCTCTCTGCCTTGTCCATCCCACTCTCTATGGTTCCTCCAGGCAACATTCCCTAGGGAATGAAGGGAACCCCTCTCGACCGCTCTAGCTTCACTCCAAGGCCTCTATGGTTCATCTTGGCTGCTCTGGCCTCTCTTCCCGCCGCACTTGGCACTGGAGGACCAAGGGGGAACCATAAAGGGCGGGAGAAAGGGAGGCCAGAGCGGCCAAGAGCGACTAGAAGAGACCCAGTAGTACCATGACCAGAGGCAAGTCTCTATGGTTCCTCTGGGTCCTCCAACGGCAAACCGCCCTTCCTGCTGGCTGCTCTACCCCGTTCCTTTAATGCTCCCGCCTCAGGAGGGCGGAAGTGGTCGGGCGCTCTAGCTCGCAGCTCTATGGTCTCTCCTCCAACGCTTCGCGCGCTTTCATCCGGGTCCCCGCGGCCGCGCATGCGCCGTGCGCTCGAGCTGGCAGCGCGACAAGATGGCGGCAGAGGGGCTGGAGGCACCGGCCAGTGCGGGCTGCGGCGGTGGGGCCGGGGCGGAGGGAGTCCCCGGCCCAGGGGGCGGCGGGGACAGTGGCCTCGAGGCGGCGGGTGAGCGCGGGCGAGAGAGAGAGGGGCTGGG